ATAGTTAATGGTAAAAAAATCTAGATGCTCTCCCATTGAGAATGAACTCTGATAACTGCTCATTAGAACTTCTAGCCAAGAAAGTAAGACAATAAATTTAAAGGTGTCTGGGTTGGGAAGTGTCTTAGGGTTTCTGCTGCTCTCCCATGACCAAAAACAAGTTGGGGAGAAAGGATTTATTTTACCTTATCATTCCACATGATGGTCCACTGTAAAAGAAAGTCAGGGCAGGAACTCAAGGGAGGAACTGCAGAGACTATGGAGGAAGGCTACTACACTAGCTTGCTCCCCAGGGCTTGCTCAGCTTGCTTTCTTTTAGCACCCAAGACCACATCTAGGGGTGGCATCACCCACAGTGAGCTGGACCCTTTCGTGCCAACCATTATTCAAGAAAATGCCCTAGAGACCTGAAAGACAATCTGATGGAGGCGTTTTCTCAATTGAGTTTCCTCTTCCCAAATTTGTGTCAAGTTGAAATAAAACAAAACAAAAAACTAATAGTACAGGAAGGAAGTAAAACTGTCTTTATGCAAAGAGGTCATTACTGTCTATCTGAACATCCAAAGGAATTAATGCTCGTGAACTAACATGTGATCACAGAAACTGCTTTCCTATGTACTGCTGATGAGCAAGCAGAGTTCCAGACTAAAAGTACAGTATAATTTATGTCTGAATGCCTGGAAAATGAAATACACAGGTGTAACTAACAGAATCCATGCAAGATGTCCTTGGGGGCAAATTACAGGGAACAAAATAAAAAACCAGATAGACATCCATGTTCTTAGCAACAGTGTTAAGATGTCAGTCCTTCTTGACTTCATTCATCTACAGCCTCATGCAATCCCATCAAAATCTCAGCAGGTTATCTGTGGAGGCCAACGAATTGATTCATGGGTTAAATAAATAAAAAACAAAACAAAACACCACCCAGAATAAATAACACAAGGCTGAAGGGGGATAGCACTGTCCAATTTCAAGGTTTACTACAAAGCGACAGCAGTCAAGACAGGTGGTGTTGAAAGGACGGAAAATGGGTCAGTGGAACAAAACAGGGTCCAGAAGCAGCCCACAGGAACTTGGCCAATTAATTGGAAAACGGCAAGCGTAGTCTGTTCAGCAAACGGTGCTGAAGAACTGGCCACCTATATGCTAGATTGGGAGGAAGTACGTCCCAAAGATACATGTGGTACAGTATCTAGGATATGGGAAGAACTTTGTGGTCTCAACAATAAGTAAACAAAACAAAATGACGTCAGCAGCGACTGCCTCAGTCTGTTGAATTGCTTTCAAGAAAAACTCATCCATGTTGTAATTTAGTTGATCAATACACCAGCATAATCTCTCAAAGATATGCACCGCTGTTTAAAAAAAAAAAAAAAACAAATATAATGATAACATCACAACTAAGAAATTAACACTAATTCATTGGCATCAACTATCCAATGTCCAAGCTTCCTCAATTGTTTTCTTTTCTTTTTTTTCTTCTTTTCCTATTTTTTGTTTTTTCCTAGACAGGGTTTCTGTGTGTGGCCTTGGCTGTTCTGGAACTCGCTCTGTAGACCAGGCTGGCCTTGAACTCACAGAGATCCACCTGCCTCTGCCTCCTGAGTACTGGGATTAAAGGCGTGCGCCGCCACCGCCGCCGCCGCCGCCGCCGCCGCCGCCGCCGCCATTCTTTTACCAACTTAAACCGCCAGCTCTATCAGGCAAGCATGTGACACATGCTGGGTACAGCTCTCTTTTGTCTCTTCTGTGGACGTCTTAGATGACACCCTTCCCGATGGGTAGTTTAAACTTCAGCACCCACGGCAGTACTTCCTAACCTTTCTCCTGACCTCCCACCCAGGCTCCATCTTAAGCTTTTCCTAGGTAGTCTTCTCATTGGCCCTATCCCTAGTTTTGATGCAGGCTGAGTTGCATCTAACATTAATTTGTGGAGAATCTTGAAAATATTCTCCTAACATTGCATTAAGCTCCATCTTCTCTACTCACTGCACCAACTTAAGTCTTTATCAGTGGTTTCTTCCAGCTTTTTGTTTTTTTTTTCTCTTTCATATTGAAATCTTTGACCAACTTAAATGTATTTTGATGTCAGAGGTAAAAATATCTGTATTTTGTTTTTCAGCTAGCTAGTGAGTCATTAATAATCTATTTTTCCTCCAGGGGTCTAAAACACCTTTTATCATACACTGAATTCATGTATGTACATGTCAATTTGTATGTATTTCCATATATATCATATATAATTTGCTCCTGACCCCATTTTCTCTTTTTAGGAAGTGTGTGTGCATGCACTTGGGTGTGTGAGCTCCAGGGATCAAACCCAGGTCCTCGTGCACACTAGGCAAGTGTCACATAGTCAGGTGTTAAAGTTGTAATAGTAGGCAGAGCTAGTTTTCTCAACATTCTTTTTCGTGTTTCACTCCCAGCTACGGTTTCCTGTGTGAACAACAACAAAAATCCTTCTGTTGGATTTCAGAGTCGTTCCGTCAAACTCTTCCTTGCTCCAAACTCGGTTGTATATTAAACTTCAATTGACATAAGAAATAACACTTTTTCCACAGTATTTTTTTTCTCCATATATAGTACAAGTTATTTTTAAAGTGTCTTTTCTATTTGGTTATTGCTGCCACACGTGAGAGCTTTTGGGTTCTACACACACATTTTATGACTGCTGGAAGAACCACAGCCTGGGTGTGAGGACCGACTATTTCACATCTCCGTGAACATCAGCATGGTCAGATCCTGAGATACCACGGGAGAATACACCATGCCTGCCTCTTTATTTCTGCATCCCCTGGGTGCCCATAGCTCACAGGGACATCATGTGGCCTTCTGTCCTCTCACTACTAGGATGTCAGTCATACTGGGTGAATCAATGGTTTCATCTCTTTCTACAAGAATCCCATTTACAAACACAGCTCCAATCTCAAACTATGGAGGTTAAGTCTTCAACATGTCTTTTTGGGTGACATAATCCAAGCCTTCACCTTTGGATAGTTTTGTAAGTGCCTGCATTAATTTTACTATCTAATTGAACAGGTAGTCCATGTTTTCCTGGTACTTATCAGCTTCTTATAATGAGAACAGTGCAACTTCTCCAGTATTAATTTCTCATTTCTTCCCCTTATCTCGTCTTACCACCTGATACTTAAGTACATCAGGCTAACAACTTGGTATTCATTATCAATTTGAACCTGATTAGAACATTAGGAACACAACTATCCATTTGCATTTCTTCCTCTGTGAACCATTTTTCATTCATCTTTTATTGAAAAAAAATCTGTATTAATTTGAAAGAACTGTGCATTAAAAATATTAACATCTCTTTGTAAATACATACTGAAAATATTTCCCTTGAAAAATACGAAAGCACCAGAAGGCATGCATTAGAAGGAAGGCACGGGCCTATTGTAAGATAATTCTACATGTCTGTGTGAGTATCCAATGAAAAATACTTCTCATAAGAGCAGGAAGATGAGTAGTGGAGTATGATGTGGATTTTAAGAAGCACTCTTGAATTTCAATTACACTAATACTTCTAATTTGTTTCACAGTACAGTATTTCTGAACCATTCAATTCTTTCCAGCTAACACACTCAACAGGGCTTCAAGGACTACACCATCTGATTAACCCTTTAATGCCAAAGCTTCAGAACTCTTGCTCTCTTACACACCAGATTTCTACCAATATTTAAAATCCCCAATTCGTCATCAAAGAAGGGATTAATCTGTCCTTGGTTTATCTAAATGACCTAATAATAAGATTTAAATGACAACCAACTATAGGATATGTCCTTATTAAGTTTGATAGGGTTTTTAAAAAGCCAACTAATGTGATGAAGTCTGCAAAGTGATTTAGATTAAACAAGTTTGACTACTCAATTTGGAAGAGATTCAGTGCACAGGTATAGGCAGTTGTAAAATGTTAAGCTTTGAATGTTACTGTCAAGAAAGTTGAGAAACGTTAGATGCACATTAATTAGTTTTCATTACTTACAAACCCGTGCTTATTTTCAGTGTTCCCTCCCCCGGCTCCCCGCCCCGTCCTATTTCTTCCTAAGAACTGTTTACACGGTACAGTTCAGGCTAAGGAGAAATTAACACCCATTAAGAAATGCAAATGATTGAAAGCTCAACCAGAAAGCTCCTGTCAGGATCACTGGGGAAAAACGACTCACTAGGACTGATCTTCCCACAGCCAAGTACAAAGGAGAGGCTAAGATGGGAGGAGGGAGGGTACATTCTGCACCTTGTAACAGGGAAGGAGCCTTCGGAAATACTAGGAAAGGACAGGATTTTCTCTTCTCCAGTCCTGAGCATTTCCAGTGACCATTCACCGTCCAGAAAACCGGATCAACACACCACCATTGTAAGCACTTCTAGCACTGTGTCTTTTCTCCATTGGGGTTTTACACTTCCTATGTTATTTAGTACTATTTTGGTTCACTGTATCAATGCCATGTTCAGCTGGGGCCGTGAAGTTACCCACATGTTCCAGGCATGTAAGAAACTAAGTGAGTTGTGTACTCTAGAGAAAAAACAAACAAACAAACAAACAAAACCTTAAATGATTTGCCAAAAATACTTGGTGACAAAATGATACTTGTTTCCAGTCAATGAAGACAGTTTGGCTGCATCTGGTAGCAATGGTCTGTAAGTTCAGCGAGTCAGGAAACTGAGACAGGAGGAATTAAGTTCAAGGCCTTTGTGAACTCTATTGTGAGCTCAGGGAACCTGAGGAACTTAACCAGAGCCTGTCTCAGAAGAGGAAGTCAAAACTCCAGCGGGAGAGGTGACTTGGTGGCAGAGCACTTGTCCACCATGTCTGAGGCCCGAGGTCCATCACTAGTACCACACCAAAACAGGACAAGAAGTACAAACTCCAGTCCACATTTGGCTGCGCCATCATGTTGCTGAATTCCTTCCTGGGGACACACAAACCAAGTCTATCTATCCCTCGACATAAGGGCCCAACACAAACCAAGGCATGATTCTGCCACAATTCAAGTGGGGAACCCATGAGTTTATTGGGAACTCTTACAGAGAGTAAGTGGGGGGTTACCCACAGGGGTGTGGGCGCCACTCTGCCCAAAGGCCGCACCAGAAGTCTGCGCAGCAGGGACATGGGCTCCCAGAGCTGCACAGATGGGACTCCTCCCTAGTCTCCCGTTGATGCACTCTATTTTTAAACCAATCTACAATCACAATATTTAAACTTCAGACAGAAAGTGACATGTGTCAAAAACACCTATGTGACTTAATGAACAACCATTTAACTAAGTGGCTAACTGAAATTTTTGTAAAGTATGAAATAAACAATTTTATTAGATGAACTCATTTATTTGACACATTAAGTTATGCAAAGAAAAATATATGCAACTGCATAAAAAGAACCACATTTTCATATTACTAAACACAGCAGTGGCCAAAAATAACGAATTGTAGAGTGGACCCCAGGATTTAATGCAAAAAACACCCTGTACAGCAAAACTTCAGGCTTCTAACTTCACTGAATCCAGAACTACACGTGCTTCTTTATACTCTTCGGCTTCTTCCAAGTCTTTTTCACTTTCCTGAAATGAAAAAGAGCACAATTAAGTTTGTCCTTTAGGAATTTCCAATCTTGATACTATAGACCAGTAAGAAACCCAAGAATTAAAGAAAAGGATTCTAGGATTTCTAAATTTATCCACCTCTGCTCCTTTGTTACTGGGAACAGAAGAAATGAGAGATTAACTTGTTTTCATCATATATTCTCGTATTATGTATTTTCATGTTGTAATTATAAACACAGTTGCCTAAAATTATTAGCATTAAGTAATTAAATAAAAATCTCATTAATTTAAAATCATCCTTATTTGGCCAACATTATCCTACAAAAAGATTATTCACAATGTATTAAAAGTAAAAAAACAAGGATTTGCTAATATGTTAGTTAATAATATGACAACATCCAGTATAAAATAATACTCCAATTATGCCCAACACCAAAGCTTGTTACTAACATCACACAAGTACAATTGAATTAGAAAAGTGGACTGTCTTATTAATGAGTATATCACACTGACATCAAACAAAACATTAGCACCTCTTTTAATTGTGAAGATTCATTCTGCCTTTGAGAAGTTCATTATAGGGCTGGAGAAACGTCGAAGTGAATTAAGAGCACTTGAGGCCTTCCAAAGGTCAGAGCCTGACCAATACCCATCTTAGGTGCTCACAGCTCCAAGCAGGTCAGATGCCTCTGGCCTCAGCGGTACCTATCTGCAGTCATGTGTATATACCCATATACATACTCATAATTAAAAACAGTAAATCTTTTTTTTTTTTTTTTTTTTTTTTTTTTTTTTTTTTTTTTTTTTTTTTTGGTTTTTCGAGACAGGGTTTCTCTGTGTAGCTTTGCGCCTTTCCTGGGACTCACTTGGTAGCCCAGGCTGGCCTCGAACTCACAGAGATCCGCCTGGCTCTGCCTCCCGAGTGCTGGGATTAAAGGCGTGCGCCACCACCGCCCGGCTTAAAAACAGTAAATCTTTTAAAAAAACTGCTGAGTCATAGGAACTCATGATCCTTAAAAAGGTTTATTATAGAGACAGAATTCCAGGCAAAATTAGTACATAAAATAAAAACATTTTCTTCTTCTTTGTGCCCTATAGATTTAGTCAGAATTTGTTGGTAAACACAAATTTCATTCTTTTTCCTAGACTATATATGAGCATACTGAAAATACTTTACTTTTCTCCTAAGGGAACAATTATGAGTAAGGGAAAGAACAGCTATGTGTCTAATAATTAGTATCAGCATAGGAAATATAAACATTAAAAATAAGATTAGTAAAAGAAATGTTAGAGTTCATCAATTATCAAACAGCAACAGTGACTTGATCATCACGACAATTTGCTTTGTCAACTAGCCACAATCCAAAATCCCCTGAGAGAGTATCATAAGGAACCGTCTACATTAGGTTGGCTGGGGCATGTCTGTGGGGGATGGTCTGTGGGGACAGAGACCCAGCACACTGTGGGCAACACCATTCTCTAGGCTGGGGGTCCTGGAATACAGCAGAGTAGAGAAACTGAACTAAGCCCAAGTGAGCATGCGCATATTTATTTCTCTGCTGCTACTTGTGGATGTGACATTACTAGCTGCTTCAAGTTCCTGCATCTTGACTTCTCCATAATAATGAACTAAAATCTGGAATTGTGAGCAAAATTAAACCCTTTCTTCCTGAAGTTGCTTTGTAAGGACTAAAGTTATGTTTTAAGTTTAAATGTCTGTGCTTAAGAGATCTATAAAACAAAACTGCCTTTAACCTGTAAATCCACTTGCTCAGGGACAGATAACTTCCTGGAATGCTGAGGGCTGTTCATGTAAGAAAACAAGCCACATATTTTTACTTCTGGAACCAAGGATGGTTGCCCAACTGGATGTGCTTGATCACACACAGGCTGGAGGTCTGTAGGCAGGAAGTACGTCAGGATGCGTGCTTGTCCCCATTGGATGAAGGCAGGAAGTACCTGACTAACATAATTCAGAGCCATTCTCTGGGTATCCTGGGTATGGACTTGGCCAGCATCCATCTTCCTGAGCAATGTTTAATAAAGCTTGATTCAAATGTGGCTCAAAAATTGTAGTAGTGGTCTTATTCTCTCCTGGTGGGATTAACAGCTGTGTGTATATATGCACACACACACACACACACACATATATATATAAAATCTATTCTATATATATAACATATATACACACACACATATATATTTTAAATCACAACAACAGAAATGAAACTAGGGTAGTTGTGACAGTTTGTCTGTGAGACAGGGGCTCTCTATGTAGCGCTGGCTGTCCTGGAACTCACAGAGATCCACCTGCCTCTGATTCCCAAGTGCTGGGATTAAGGGTGCTTGCCACCATGTTGTGTGATGGTCAGTGTAAACTGTCTAGAGTGTCTACAATCTAGAATCACTTGGCGACATTAGCTCATTCCTCTTTGCTCTTCACTAAGGATGTAATGTGACTAGCTGCTTCAAGTTCCTGCCACCTTGATGGGATGTAACCTGGAATGACAAGCCAAATAACCTCTTTGTCCCTTAAGTTGGTTGCTTTTATTCAGTATTTTACCACAGCAACAAGAAACAAAACTAAGGTAGAAACCGGTACCGAGAAGTAGGGCAGCTGCTGTGATAAACATGACCATGTGGCTTTTAGGCAAATGGAATTGTTTTGTGGGAAGAATGTGGAAGTGTTTGGTACACTGGTTTAGAAAATCCATTCAATGATGAAAGTAGAGGCTAATGGGCATTCTAGTGGGAGTGTGGAAGAGCAGAATGCTGAGAAAATGGAATATAATGTGGAGGAGGGCCAGCGTAGAAGGTTACAGAGAGAAGGACTCTCAGGAAGTGGGCTGGGGCCATTCCTGTGACATTGTGGCCAAGCACCTGGCTTCCTCCTGCTCTTGCTCTGAGGACCTGAGTGAGGTTAAATGTAAAGATAATGGTATTTCATAGAGAAGCCTCTTGTGTTGCACTGGGAGGGGAAGAGGGTCTGGAAGGCACCATCTTGAGAAGATGCAAAGTCACTAAGAGGAAGAAAGCCTAAGGCATGCCCCGTTCCTGGAAGGCAACTGCACAGGAAAGTGTGTCTTCAGCACACAGAAGCTGACACAGCTGTGGTCCAGAGGGGAAAGGCTGTCAACAGAACTTGGCTACTGTCCATGTGGTGTCTGTTCTGAAGTCACAAAGGATGTAAGCGTGAGGGGGTCACTGAGAGCAGCTGAGGCCGGGCATTGTGTGGCATGGAGGCAGTCTCTGTGATAAGAGGCCCTGGGAGGCTAATTTATAAAGTGAAGCATAAGCTGCAGTGGGACCCTAGGAGGCAGGCCGAGCCAGGACCATGGGGCCTCCTTCAAGGTGCACAGCAGGTATGGATGGACTGACAGACATGTGCTGAAGGCAGCAGGGACGTAAGAGTGTGGTGCTGTCCAAGCCGCTGGGGCTCGGCCAATTTCATCACAAGCCCCAGATGCAGGACAGAGTGCTGCAGGATTTGGCGGTTTCTCTGCTGGAGTTTCATTTGTTTACTTCTTGTTACGTCCTGCTTCTTCAATGCTGAAATAGGAATGTCTACTCTGTACTATTTTATGTTGAAAGTATACAACTTTGTGTTTTTTGATTTTATAGGAACTCACAGTTATAAGACTCTTAAAATATTGGAAAATGTAAAGATAATACGGACTTTTAAAGATGGCCCGCACTTTACCTTAGGAGACAAACCTTGACAAGACTCTGGGGACAAGGGTTGAGAGGTTCACAGCCTACAGTGTTGAGTGTTTGTGTGTCAAGCAGACAGGAAGCAGACTGCGCGGCTGCTTTGGTGGTCAGGCCGGTTCACTGCAGATGAAGGGATAGGATCCTGCAGCTGCCTTCCCTCTAGTGACAGACTGCAGAGAACTGTGAGCCAAATAAGCTTTGTCCCTTAAGTTGCTTTTCCAGGGTGTTTTTATCACAGCAACAGAAAGTGGAACTAAGACACAGCCCTGTGCACGTGTCAACTGTTAAAAAGAAGTAAGATGACTTTTACTTAGACTTTGATCATTTATAGACTCAACTAGCCACTGCTTCTCAAAGCATGGGTACCAGGAAGCATGACAGTACCACCCCATTCAGGTGGCTTCATGAGAGGTCTGCTTCTATTACCTTCTGGCCCCCCTTCTCTCAACTTAATTTAGGTTTGAATCTAAAATAATTCCAGACCTTGTACACAGGACCAAATTAATTTGAGACACTGGATTAAATCAAATTTCAAACAGTTGGCTGTTAATGTGTCAAAAAAAAAGTATGTACAAAGAACAAATAGATATTGCTGGTCAAAACTGGTACTATGTATACCAGCTATTATGGCTCAAATATTTAGTAAGTAAGTAGAATAAACATGATAGAAAAAACTTGAGTCATGACTCAAACCTAAGTTAAATTCTTTAAACATTTAAAAGCATGCTGGTTCCCAGGGTGCAGTGGTTAGTGCTGTCAATACCTGGGGGCAGCCTCCAAGCACACTAGTGAGGGGCTGTCTACATTAATGCTAGTCTCTGAGTATGACATCAGGAGACTATCTTGGGCTGGACCATCCCTAAGCAGGGGAGACAAACACACATGCATCCACTGCATCCTGTTCCTGATTATGGATACAATACAACCAGCTCTTTCTCCAGTCACTGTGGCTTCCCTGCTCTGATGGACTGTAACATCGAATTCAGAGCTAAAATGAAACTTTCCAAGAGTATTTCATCATCCAATAGGAGAAGAAACCAAGACACAGGACAAATGAATAAAAATCTATTTCTTCAAATAGCTGCAGTGTTAAATATTCAAAGTTTTAGTTTTCTGCATATTAGATTGAAGACAATTTAAAATATGAGTTCAAGAAATCTTTACTTACTAATATCTGCTGAAGATCGGTATATGCAGCCTCTAACCGGCGCTGGCAATCTGGGATCATCATCCGGGACTCTTGCAGGATTTCTGCCTGTAATAAGAACATTTGTGAGACATGTCAAGACGAGAACTAATGTGTATTTATTTTATACCCTGACATATAACTAATGATTTAGAGGAAATGAAAAGTAGAACTATGTTAAATGACTCAATGCTCTAATTCATCAGATTGTATTATCTGCAAAGTACAAGTTCTACGCAGAACTTGCACAAAGTTTTGGGCTTTTCTCCCTTTTGGTAATCACCTTCTCATGGTAAGTGAAAATTAACTGGCAAAGCTTTTCATTCAGCACTTATTTAAAAGGCTATTTAAAGTAAATGATTCCCCTGCTGTCACAAAGCACCTTTATCTAAAATGGGATCAGCTGGTTATATAAATATCCCCTGCATCTTTGGGTAATAAAGGAAAACAGTGCTCAGATAGTATCACAGGGAGATAATTACTGCATGAGAGAAGTTATTGAGTTATTGATCACATCGTGTGCACACTGCAGGAGGGACTCACTGAAAGACAGAGGTAAGAGAAATGAAAAGCAAAGACCAGCAGGTTCATATTCTGATGCTTATCATGCATAAAAAGTTATTACTTATCCTTGGGCTTCATTTTAGGAGAGAGATTATTTTCCCCAAGCAGTTTGAGCCAAATTACCAATGTGGCACCCTCTGAATCTGAACTTCTTGCCTATTCTTCATGAAGACACTGAAGAATTAACCACAGGGACACTTATTCTGAGGGATGTTTTTGGAATGTAAAATCTACCATTCAAAGCTATATTGTAACACATCAAAACACAAAGGAAAACTAGGAAACTCGGTCAGTAGTTAGTCAAGATGTTGGACTTAAGCCTTTTTCTTCAGTTGGCACAAAAGCTTTGTTTCCATAAATTATTCTCAGAGACAGATATTGTGATAATATTTTTTCTCAAAAGATGTTTGGTCAAAAGCTTTCAGAGAAATAGGTACAAAATTAATCAAAATTACCTAGGAAATAAAACAGAATGCACACAATTTTATGGCAGTAATAGTTAATTATAATGGAAATGTAAGTAGGTCCCAGAATCTTCATGCTTTCTTTGACAATCTGTCGTAGCTCATACTGTACTAAACCATCATAACACACAGTTACTGTCTATCCACATCTGCTTTCTTGGGTGGAAATATATGACTGAACTTAGAATGCTTTGACTATTAAGTCACAGATTAAAATTTCAAGTATAGGATCATGACTTTACTTTCAGGTAAACAGATATTTAATCAATGCCATTAAATTATTTTTGTATATCTGGTTTGAATCTATGTTAAAAATTGGCAACAGGAACATCTCAGATTTCTCCTGTGGAATTCCTGCAGAACAGCTTACAGGAATAAAATAATGAATTAAAAGAAATAGGTCAAACTTATGACAAGTTAAAATATATATTTACAATTTTCCCCCAAGCCTTAATGTTACTAAAATGAACTTTAAGCAGCATTATCCAACATAATTTCTATTCTTTATTATCTCTTTGTATTAGTACAAATCAAGATCTTCTGTGAGTCTAGCAAGATGAACTCCTGACTTCCAACAAAAGTCCACTCCCCTGTATTCCACCCTGATTATTCACTGAGTTTCCTCAACATTCAGCCCCATAACCACAGGTTCCACATCTGCAGATTTAACCTACAGTAGACTGAAATTAAAAAACAACAACAAAATAAAATTGCACTGAACACTTGTAACACTTGTAATATTTGTCATTACTCCTTAAAAATAATATACCATAGCAACTATTTATATCATCTTGGTATCATCACTAATCTAGAGATGAATTAAAATACACAGCAATATGTGTATAGGTTATACACTCCACCATTTTCTAAAAGGAACTGGTCCAAGAACACTGAGGGCTGACTGCATGCGTACATGTCAGGACAGGGGACACAGACTGCAAAGAGAAGGCTCAGTTTTGCAGTCCAACACAGGAGCACAAACATGAAGACATGAAGCCTGACACTGCTTCATGTGACACCGCCCCAGAAGCCAAAGGAACACCCGGAAACCTGGATCCCATAGGCCACACCTGCACCAAATCCACAAGCTGAGTGCTTCCCTTTAGAGCAATGAATCAGGACTGACAGGGATAATTTTTTTATTCTCTGAGAATTTCATACAGTAAACTATCATATTCAGCTGTTCCCCAACTCTTCCCTGGCTCTCCCCAAATCGATACCCAGCCAAGTTCTTGTTCCTTTTCAAAAACAAACAAAAAGGCCACAAAAAACCATGGAGTCCAATTTGTGTTGGCCAACTACTCCTGAGCATGGAGCCTGCCCTGGACCGGGATTGGTATACCTGCCGTTAGCGACTTTCCCTTTCCAGCAGCTACCATTCAGGGGCAGTTTCTCAACTGGGAGTTGAACTTAGTGCCACTTTCTGGGATTCTGTCTGGCAGCAACTAACAACAGCATCTGAGTCATGATGAGACAAAGAAGACATCCCCAAATATCCAACTGAACTAATGAGTGCTGTTCATTCAGAGTGTCTTTCTTTAGAGGACCCAAACAATGGTTATTCTAATGCTTACTGCATTGTGTCTAGAGGATAATCAGGGTCTTGGCATAGTCACTGGACTCATAAGGAACCTTAGGGGAACACCATAGCGTGCCATCCCCAATGATGTGAAATTGACTTTAAAACAAGTTACAACTTTTCTGAGTATTTATTTTGGTAAAATGGAAATTGGGGAAGAATAGGCAAGGCTTGGTTTATAACAATCTATAGATTGCAGAACTTAAAAGTTGATTAATTTCTTTTATGATCAAACATAAAAAGTGAAAAGTAAACATTCTAATTGATAGGAATTCCTTTTATTTTTTTCTGTCACAGGAAAAGTTCTATGAAACAATGCGGCCAATGTTAAGCTGTTCGGCAACTGATTAGGCTAAGGTTTCTGGCTCCTTTGGTGAGCCAGATCTTGTAACCAGGGATAGACTAGACCTATAAGTTGTACCAGCCCACAGAATGATGTCAGCTGTCTCTGGAGCCAATAATATTCATATCAGCTTGTCAGATGGAGCTCTAGAAATTACTGCAACATTAGTTAAGTCTTCTCTTTTATATATAGTGGAAGGATGTTAACATGCGCACAGTGAATTAGGAATCCATTTGACTGTGTTTCCCTGGTTATTGCTGAATCCATTGAGGCGAAGCGGGGCAGTGTAAACTCTGATACACCAACAACTGTCATGAATGTAAATGGTACAAGTATACCATCTAAAGCATGGAGATAGACTAACTGTACCCAACCTGGCATTTAAGAAATTCACTTCAGATGTAAAAAAACAGAAAATACAAGCATGGAAAAAAGATATAGAACATAAAACAACAACAACAACAGCAGAAGTGACTACATTAATATTATAGAGTAGAATGCTGCAGATCAAGAAATGCTGTTAGGGACAAAAGGAGTGTCACATTATCAGAACATTCTAAGCACATCAAGGTAACATATGATCCTGTGTATGAACAGATAAATAAATGAACATATATAGATGGGGATTTTCACTCAACAATTTATAGAAATACTAGACAAAAATGAGCAAAGGTAGGAAAGAACTAGACACAAGCACAGTGAGCTATGCTGCTTTAAAAAACACTGTATCAGAGGAGAGGAAGGAGGGGAAACTGGTTGAGATGTAAATCAACAACAACAACAAACCCCACTGCATCTTAGCAAGGAAACAGAACATTCACATAAGAGAGTGCAAATGCATTAAGCCCTGTGAACACTGCAGCAGACCACATCCTATGTCAACAGCAGTAAAAACTAAACAGAAACCTAAAAGCCATGCAATCATAGACAGTACAGTTCTAGGACACCACACAGAGTCAGTAACTGAAGAGGAGACTCTTCCCTGATAAACTAACCAAGTCAGCAGGGCAGTGTTAGAACACACCTTTACCCTAGCACGTGGGGGCAGAGGCCGTGGGGGGCAGAGGCCGTGGGGGCAGAGGCCGTGTGGGCAGAGGCCGTGGGGGGCAGAGGCCGTGGGGGGCAGAGGCCGTGGGGGGCAGAGGCCGTGGGGGCGGAGGCCGTGGGGGCAGAGGCCGTGGGGGCAGAGGCCATGGGGGGCAGAGGCCGTGGGGGCAGAGGCCGTGGGGGCAGAGGCCGTGGGGGCAGAGGCCGTGGGGGCAGAGGCCGTCGGGGCAGCCAGACCTCACTAGTGCTGAGAGGAGAGCTCATGGCACTGAGCTCCCATCAGCAAAGTGAAGTGCTCTCAAATCTGTGTTCTTCCTCACAATAGAGGAAAAGAGGCAGCACTTAATACAACACTTCAAGGCAGCGGCAGGCGGCCAGTCTGGTCTAATTAGGGAGTTTCAGGACAGTCAAGGCTACACAGAAAGACCCTGTCAAAAGAAACAAAAACCAAGCAAACAAAAACCCCAAATCAAAACAGCAACAAAAAACAAACAGAAAAAGGCAGCAAATAAACTCAAAACAATCGAAAGAAATGAAGTGATCATAAAAGTACAAATCGACAACAAAACAATCAAAGAAATGGAGTGATTATAAAAGTACAAATCGATAAAATTACAAGTCAGAAAAATACAGAGAAATGTCAACAGAACAACAGGTAAGTTTAAAGAAAAAGCTGATATACTTCTGGCAAGACCAAGTGAGTAGGCACAAGTCACCAAAAGCAACACCAAACAGCTCCTGTGGCCACTGAAGAATGAAGAGGTCCCAGAGACAACTCTAATACTAGCAACTTGAAAGCAACGGACCCCACTCCTCAAAACTTACATAAACTACCCGAACCCCACCAATTCCATCACCTCCTGCAAATTTCATGACTTCATCCTAATTTAAGACGAGTTCTATTCCACTGTGTGCATACAGCACACTTCCATTATCCATTCAGTGTAGACGGACATCTGGTCTGCATCAACTTCTGAACTACCATGAGAAATACGTATGTTATTTTGGTGGTCTGCACATCAACTCGGGAGCTATTTCTAAATTTAAAGATGTAATTACACTTAGTATATTATCTAACTTATATTTAATACTTAGAGCTGGAGACCCGCAGAGCTTCATGGCTGAGAGCAACAATGGAATGCTCGTGTTCAAACACGAGCACTATGTGACCTGCGGCAGTTATTTCACTAAGTTTCTGCTTTCTGTCGTCGCTGTGCTTGTTGGAAAGGGCTTCACTAGTCCGTAGGCTGGTGTCCAGCTTGCAGTGATCCCCTTTCTCAGCTTCCCCACCCCACGGAGAACAGTACCATCTCTGAGGGCTGTGGAAAGCCCACAGCCCAGGTCCCGAGCGCCAGCCTCACCTGCTTCTTAATGGCGTAGTTCTCCCCGTCCTCGGCCTTCATCTTCTCTATCTTTTCTTCTTGCTGCTTTGCTTCTTTCTCATACATCACTTTTTCTTTGACCAACCTGTAAACAAATCAAAAATGTTTTGGAGATTAGCTTTTTTCTCTAAAGGACAACAACGAAACTATGTAAATACAAGACACAGTTAAACTACAACATGGATAGGCAAGATGGGGCAGCTACTTCTAGTCGTAGAGGTGAGAGCCCTGTGCTCCAAGTCCTCTACTGGGTGAAGCCAAGCGTGAACGCAAGGAGCACACACTCCGACCGACATTAAGAAGGAAACCCACTCTTGCCTCTGCAATCTAAAAGTAGAAGTTAACACTTCTGTACTGCCTTTTTTATTGATGCTTTCTAAAACTCTGTAATATACTTAGTTAGTTTACTAGGGGAAACCCACCAAATCTCAATGAAAGATTAGATTATTTTCAGCAAAAGCCCTGCTTACTACTTACAGGGAACTTAATTTTATGTCGGCCTTTCCTTTATGCAAGAAACAAGAATAGGTAATTTAAAGGTAGTTCTCTCACAGACAATTAGTAGACACAAACCAGCACCAATAACGTTCAATCAAGAAAAGGTACAGATCAGGGAATTCTGGTAATAGGGAAGCATGCAAAACAAAATCTCAATTAACCATAAATAGCTCAGTCTCCCTTAATTCTAGCTAATCCAAGTTTAATATAAAAGTATTGTGCTGGCTAGTTTTTATGTCAACTCGGCACAAGCTAGAGTCATCTGAGAGAAGAGAGTGTCAACTGAGAAACTGTGGTGGACAACCCTGTAGGACATTCTTAGTGACTGATGGGGGAGGGTCCAGCCCCAGCCCCAGCCCACTGGGAGTGGGGCCACTCCAGGGCTGGTGGTCCTGGATGCTATAGTAAAGCAGGCTGAGCAAGCCCATGGGAGTCAGTCAGTAAGAAGTGCTCCTCCATGGCCTCTGCATCAGTTCCTGCCCTGACTTCCCTTATGATGGACTGTAATCAACTGAGACATGTGAGATAAAATAAACCCTTTCCTCAAGTTACTTTCAGTCATGGCTTTGTTTGTTTGTTTTTTGTTTTGTTTAAATCACAGAAGTAGAAACCTTAAGACAATAACATATTAACATTCCTATATAGCCAAGTAGATACAGTAGAGTGGTTTGAATGAGAGTGTCCCCCATAGGCTCATACATTTGAATGCTTGGTCCTGGTTAGTGGAACTGTTCGGGGAAGGATTAGGAAGTGTGGTCTTGGAGGAGGTGTGTCACCAAGTATGGGTCTTGAGGTTTCAAAAAGCCAGGCCCAGTCTGTCAGTGTGTCTCTCTGTCTGCCTCCCGGGACCCGCCCCTCCCCACACCCACTGCCTCTAATTTGTGGATAAGATGTGAGCTCTCAGCTACTGCTCCAAGGCCACACCTGCCTACTGCCATACTCCCTGCCATGATGACCATGGACTCACCCTCTGAAACTGTAAACAAGCCTCCAATTAAATGCTTTCTTTTGTAAGTTGCCTTGGTCATGGTGTCTCTTCACAGTAATAGAAAAATAACTAAAGTACACAGCAAAGAAAAAAGTTTTCTGACTCCATCACATTAAAAACAGCCTCCATCTGACTTACTTAATTCTAACCCAACATATAAAGGCAGGGAAACACTATGTAGAACATGGTAATGAAGATTTTAAAGTGTATTTCCAAACATAATTTGATTTTTATAGTTTAACTAGATTGAATTTAAACTCAGAAGTCTTTGTTGGTTTTTGTTTTGTTTTTTGAGACACGGTCTATTATGTATCTCTGGCTGTCCTAAAACAGCTCTGTAGCCCAGGCTGGCCTCAAAATCAGAGATCTGCCTGCCTTTGCCACCCAAGTGCTGGGATCAAAGGCGTGAGCCGCCATGCCCGACCAAAGCCACAAGTCTTTAAAGCCTGGCGAGGCAGCACCAATCTCCTCTGCACCCCTGCTGCAGTGCAGGAGCCTTTCCCGTGCAATTAGGTCACCACATGCTAACACCACCACGGATTCTACTTTGGAACTCAAACATCCCAGTCAGCTCCTACCCTGGGCCATTCGGTGTTCTTTCTAGATGGAAATACAAAACAAACAGACAAACCACTAACAGTAGATAGCTATGTGAGTCTCACACACTTAGACCCTGGAATACTGGCAATGAAAGGCAAAATACAAGACTGAATGACCACGCACTTTGAGTTGGGAAAACATGAACAATAAAAGGATGCTCAAGAAACAAACAGCAAAGGAGTAAGAAATTCCTGTCTAGTTAACTGAAGAAAGGCCTGCTGATCTGGGGAGGGAGGTAAAAATGTAAACGGGTTTTAATTTTATGTCTTCCAATAAAGTATGAGCTTTTTATCATATATAAATCACTTTCACTTAAAAAAGAAGTGCAGCAAATTTTTAATAATTTTCAAGCTTGCTAGTTTCCCCATTGGTTATATTCATGAATTTTCTGGACAAAGAATCTACCTAATAGTGTAATTCTCTGAATGCTGCTTTCCCTTTCCAAACATTACTTAAAATAATTTCAAAGTAATGCTATTGCAGCTTAAAGGCAAAATTAACTGAAAATATTTTCTATTACTCTTACAAACCTACTTCTCCAAACAGCAAGGTAGCTTCAAAAAATCTGTTGGTTCTAACTAGCTAGAAAAGCTTACTACTAAGGAGAGCTGTAAGAAGTATGAAGGACCGACAACCCTTAGTGGGATAGTCAAATAACAAACCACCTGTAACATGACGTGTAGCACACAACAGAACATTTACATATGCAGTCCAGCACTGCTAGTAAGGTCCAGACAAACTCGTTTGTGCTAGTGGTCCTATAAACTGAAGAGCAGAAGTTCTAAGGATGGACAACGTGTTGTAAAAGGTCTTGGAAGTCTTGCTAAATACGGTTCAAGTACAAACTCAATGGAGATGTAAGGAATATCCATGTGGCTCCTTCAGAACAGCTGCCCCTCAGCACAAGTTTGGGAAGTGTTCTGTAGAAACCCATGTTTTCACTACAAAACTCACAAGTGCAAATTTCACACATTTAAACACACTGCTCATAATATAAGTTTTTGGGGAAATCAAGAGCTTCTGACCTTGCATCTAAAAACTCTGATTTTTAATTTTCTAAATTTATTATCCTAATTTTATAGTTTTAAGAATTATAAACATTATTTTCAATGTATTTATGGCCATTTAATATCTAATATTCCAAAACCAAGTATAGAAGTGGCAGGCCAGTACAACTAGTTGTTAACAAGGGGTAAAGGGAGAGGGGGAGATGGCTCAGAGGTTAAGAGCATCTTCTGCTCTTAACGAGGACCCAGGTTCAATTCTGAGCACCCATGGCAGCTAACGACTGCTTGACACTACAATTCCAGGGGATCTGACACCCTCATCTACCTCCACAAGTATCACACATACACATACATGCTGACAAAAAGTCACACACAGAAAGTAAATTTTTGGCTGGGCGGTGGTGGTAGCTCACGCCTTTAATCCCAGCACTTGGGAGGCAGAGGCAGGTGGATCTCTGTGGGTTTGAGGCCAGCCTGGTCTACAGAGCAAGATCCAGGACAGCCAAGGCTACACAGAGAAACCCTGTCTCTAAAAACCAAAAATAAATAAATTTAATGTAAAAATCTTTAAAAATCCTGGCAAAGGGCCTACAGAGGCATTTCTTTAGGATGACATACAAATATGCAGTAAGCACATGAGAAAATACTCAACCCCATCCATGAGGAATGAAATATCACTGCACAATCAGATATCTACAATCAGTCTGATCATAAGTGTCAAGTATTGGGAAAGACATGGAGAGAAGCTGAAAGCATTAAACAATGCTGATAGAAATGAAAACTGATACAGTTGTTTTGAAGTTGGCTATTTCTCAAAATATTAAACAAATCAAAATTACAATCCGTCCCAATGCTACTCCTAAATAGATACCCTAGAGAAACTGAAACAGAAGTCCATATGAAGTCTATGTATATGAATGTTGATAACAGGTTATGTGCAACAGCCAAAACATGACAACTCAAAACTCCACTTCCTGGACAAACAGAATGTGGTATATCCATTCACTGGAATATTACTCAGCAATAAAAAGGAGTACATACTCTAGGGGAGAATCCACCACAATTATTCTTCTAAATGGACAAAATAACAAACTGATTCCTAATGACATCATTATACCTAGATATTAGTGCATCTCTCAACCTTCATGAAGAAACATCCCTAACGTGGTACATCCTTAGCATGTTAAGTTTTTGGTAATTAACAGAGAAACCTACAGCAGGTCAAGCTGCAGAGAAGAAGAGAATACAGAATGTGTAGTCCTAAACGGGACAACCATATCACACCTTCCAAGGCTTGGGGATCACTGCAAAGGAAAAGAGAGTTGGAAGACGGAAAGAGGGTGGATGACAACAAGGAAACAGTATCCTTGGGACACAGCAGGCAGCTGCACATGTGAATCCACACTGCACGTGTGACAGTACGCACAAGTCCTATACAGTCTCCAGCCAAACAAAACCCCAGCATGCAGGGGGTGGGAGAAGGCAGGAAGTTCCAGTACAGCTGAGGAGTTACTGGCAACTGGGAGCTGCTATAGGAGAGTGGGTTCCCTTCAAGGCAGGTAGATCACGCTCTAACATATGGGCAGCACAAACTGAATTGGATGGATTTAAAAAGGACATGGAGTTGGGTTGGTCGGGACGGGAGGTGGTTCTGGGAGGAATGAGAGAAGAGGTGAAAATGATAAAAATTCACTGTATAAAATTCTCAAGAACTAAAAAGGGAGGGCACTAATTCATGGTACAACAAATGAACCTTGAAAACATGCTGTGAAAGCAGCCAGACAAAAGAGGCTACAAACTGTATTGATCTATTTATAGGACACCCACAGAACAGGCAAGCATAAGAATGCAGAGAAACAAGGAAATCCGTGGTAGCCTAGGGCTGGTTTGTTTCTGACATGGTGAAATCGCTCTACATAGGATACCATCTGAGTGACAGGAGTACACTTCTGCAAACACACTGGACACTTGGTGACTATGTGAACCGCATCA